TTTTACAGAATTCCAAACAATTGTGAAAAAGATAACATCTTATTTTACTGACGAAAATAAACTTACGAATTACACTGAAAGTCGAAATAAGGCTTTTTTTAATATAATTTTGATCTTGATTTAGGGAAGGAAGACTGAAAGAAAAGTTAAACTTATTGAAATAGAAGTAACGAGTTTAAATTATTAAAAATAAGTAATATCTTCAACGAGTAATTTTATATATAGGATATGGTTATATGAATGATGAAAGACATTGCGTAAGCAAATTGGTTTTCGTAATTATATATAATCAATTTGCTATATTGTAATTGAACATTCTCTTTCCTAACTGAGCGAGTGATCACTACAGCCGAGTGGTCATGTTCATGGCCAACATTAATTTTGCTGAATCGTGGGTTCAAGCCAAGACGCCATCACAGAATAATCGTATGAAGGAATTCAAACACATTAAATCTCTCAAAACTGAGCGTCCTCTTGTTGGCTCAGGTGTCCTCTTTCTCAGTTGACCATGGCTCAAAATTACGAGGTCAGTCGCTAATAATCCTAGCGTTATTTCAAAGAAAGCGACGCTAATAAGCGATCAATCTCGGTGAAGTATTCTCAAAATCCTTTTGTGATGTCCCTGGTCATGCGCTATAAATAGCTTCATTGAAAACACAAACCAAGTGGTAGTATCAAGGAGACGTGTAAGTGGTATTCTACGTGAAAACGCGGCCATAGTGGTATATATCGAACACCTAGATATGCGAAAAAATAGATGTAAAAATCTTCACCTTTCGAAAGGTAACTTCCTATATATGAGAATGAATATATTCTGAATATAATTTGTATTTAATTATTATACTTTGTATACGTAATAAAAAATAAAAAATAAACTTTTCGAAACTTAAGGTATCCGACTACTTGAGGTATGGGGATTTTTTTGTGGTTTTTAGATTTGCTTAGTACATTTTAAGAAGATAAAAAGGATTTATTATAATAAAAATGTGTGGGAAAAAATTGGCAAAAATTTACAAAAAATAACATAAACAGGTTTCATTCTGTACCAAAAGTTTATGAACATATTTTTACTTTTTCAATTCTGATGTGTTGTTGTGTAATTCTTTTTTGAAATGACGATCAGGATAAGAGATATTTTAATTTTTACAAAAACAAGAGCCCTTTACCTTAGTTATTATATGAAATTGCTTAAAAAACCAGTGATTATATTAACATAAGGAACTGTAAATTTTGTAATAAAGCAGTGATTGATATATCTGAAGGTTAAAACACTTCTACTATTATACAGAACATACACAACAAATTTCAGTTAATTATTTTCGAAACTTTTTTTTGCAATCGCTGCCCCATTTGAGCGTTTAAAAAAAACACATTTCGAGTAAAATGTGTTTTAAAGTATGGCATCTTGCTTAAAGTAATGGCACACACACACACACACTCATTTGCTTTTACTAAAACTTTGTAGTTTTTGTTCTATTGAACTGAAAATAATAAACTTGGTATTTTTATAAATCAAATAAGGTGGTCTATAAAATAAAATAATTAAAAAATTTGTCAATTTTTGGCAAAATTCACAGTTTTAGGGTAGTCGGAAACCTTAACAAAAATTGTTGCACGAGTATATAAAATACTTTATACTCTAATAAAATATACAAGCCGCAAACCTAGCATATTCAGTGGTTTCACCGAGAATTCATTGTAAGGAAATAAAGATTAATAATGAAAAACTAATATTTAAATATACAGTTTATCTATGAAATAAAAAATATATATTAAACACAACAATCTATTTATTCAGTTGCTTAAATGAAAAAAATAATCTTCCGTCAACGCCATGTGAACTTATAGCAATAATTGGAGATAATTTTATTGTACTAAATTGAATATGAAAATAAAAAGATGGTCGTTACAATAATTTATAATTAAAACAACCATCTAATATTTTGTTTCTCTAAGAAACAAAGTAAAATGTTTCGTTTTCATAATTTGATTCCAAAATCCGAGAAATTTTAACACAAAGGTTTTACTTTTAAATAATAGATATATAACTACAATGCAGAACAATATGCTGTAGCAATAATTATAAGCAAAAACAATGTTCCTTTTCTTTTAAATCCCTTATTGAAAATTTTTATTCTTAGTTATTTTAAAGAGAAATAATTGTGTTACCTGTTATGAATCCTCAATATTATCTGAATTTTTATTTAACAAGTATTGTTTTGTATATTAATAGTACAAAAAAATGTTTTATCAAGTTTTATGTTTTTTTTTTAAAATTATTATTATGTTGTTTTTCCGGTTTATAACAAAAACTGATCATCAAAAATTTAAATATTAGAAATTTAATTTTGGTTGGGAAGTAAAATTGATGAAACCTTTCTTCTTAATGGTCTACAGTCCATTCAATTAGTCTACACAATAGGTTTCGGTTCGCTTAAAGTTCTTCTGTTCCAATATACCTGAGTTCAGCATGGCTTACTTTGAGGTCATTCTTGGGTACCAGTATTTTTATGATTACTATGACCTTTAGAAATCACTAGAATTCATGTTTCTACAGAATGTCTTTTTGACAGACGAATTGTTTTAAATGTGTTGTTTTAAGGTAGAAGTAAAAAAAACTAGAGGGGACTTTATTCATTAAGTTACTTTTAATCTAAATATTTTTCTAACCAAATGTTTTCTTTCTTGAGGGTATGCGAAAAAAAGTATCATGAACAACATTTAATAATTCAAATTCCTCATGGCTCTTTTAAAATAATATTTGTAGTTACTAAAACTATTTGACCGAAATATATAGAGAGAAAATATGTTGTTCAACATTTTCGCTACAATTATTTTTATGTGGAAAAAAATTAATATCTATTTTAAAAAGTGCTTTAAGCCTTGCCTTTTGTTTTTATTATAAATTCATCCAGTAAAATTATCGATACCCTTAGATTCTTAACAATTTTTTTTAAATGTTAAATTTATTTGTTTTGGAAAAAGTATAATATTGAATAAAAATATTAATTATATTATAATTTTTTTACAGAAGAAATAGACTGTAGTTATAAATGGAGTTTTTCCTTAAATTATTCTACATTTTTGATACACTCTACCCATGTTTTCAACATTTTTGAAAAAAAAAAAAAAGAACTAAAAGGAGCACAAAAAAAAAAATTAATGCATTTAAGACAAATGTGTATTTTTTTAATGTAATATTGAATCAGAAGCAATTACCGTAAAATCCGGCGTATAACGCACACTTTTAACACAAAAAATAAGATCGAAATTTAAGGGTGAGCGTTATACGTCGGGTATAAAAAGGATAATCTTAGAAATACAAAAAAAGAGATGAACATAAAAAAATTAGACTTCTACATATATCGAAATACTGTTTATCTAAAAGAAATGTCATTCCTTATGAACTTAAAAGGTTGTAGTTCTAAAAGTAAACTATTTTTTCAAAAGCCTGGGATAATACCTGAAATAAATCACTTCAAAACATAGGAGCATTGCACTCATATGTTTCATGTTTCCTTATAAAAAAAGGGGTGCGCGTTATGCGGCGAATATACCTAAAAATTAAAAATTGCAGCTTAAAAGTATGAGTGCGCGTTATACGCCAGATTTTATGGTAATTGAAATATGCATTCTGTAAAATTGAATAACTTTCATTGCGAAAGCTCTAATTGGGAAAAGTTGCTTCTCTTTAGAAATGTACATAGATTTCAAAACCAGGAAGTCAAAGACATTAACAGTGATGCCATTCCAAATTGTTTATATTAAAGAATTCAATGAATAAAAGAATGATAAGAAATTCTTTTGAAAGGCCCTGTTCTTTTGAATTCATTATTTTGATATAAGATTAATAAATACTGAAATGGAACTAGAAAAGAATTTATCTTGGTGAGTATAATATTTATGAAAAATTTTTATAATACCAATATGTAGAACATTTTTTAAAATTCGAGAAGTATTTGTCTTTAATAAAACAAACTATTTGAATCTGATAACGCCAAGCAATTTAAATGCTAATTTTAAAAGTTTAAATTCGTATCTTTATTTTTATTTTTTTTATTTCTTATTATATATATTATTAAATTTTTTAAAATAAATATATGCATAAAAAATCTTTCAAAAAATTATAATTCAATACCTTTTTAGGAACTAAGAATTAAAAACTATTTGAAAATAACATTAAGCAAGTTTTTAAGGGAATATTTTTTTAAGAAATCTTTTGAAAATAATCTTCTTAATGAAATAATAAATATTTAAATTACTAATTCGCTTTATTTATAGAAAACTACTGAGAAAATTAACTTCATTTTATGACTTAAATAAAGTTGGAACTTAGTACAATCAATTAGACATCAAATATCATTCGAAGATTTGGTATTTTTCATCTAAAAAAGTAACAAATCTAAGGTTAAGCAATTAAACTTCATTCTTTCTATGTTTTACTGTCATAAACCGAATCAATGGACAAAACAGAGCTTTAATCAAGTGGAGAACATTTCTTTTTGAAGTCGTTTTTATAGAAAACCAGATTTTGTTTGGATAAAAAAATTTTAGAATACCAACAACTAAAGTGCAACCAAACTATCTGTAAAATTTAATGATAGCTTCAAACATCAGGTTTTTTCTAACACTATCAACTGATAATTAAATTATCTGGATGTTGTGATTTTCTCATCAAGAACAAAGTTTTTCAAAAGTAAGAAATGCACAATGTTTTTTTACTTCATTTCTTTTGTTGTCATTTTTTTTCAATTCCTACTATTATATACACTCTCTGTCCCTTATATATAAAAAAACTTGTTCAAATTTTCGATCGTTAATAAAATACTTTCTTTCATCCATTTAAGTTCAAATACATTTTTTAAACGTAGTGGATGACACTTAATGTTAATACAGCCTTTTCAAATATTAATTCAGTAATCAAATTAAAAAATGTATAAATAGTAACAAAAAAAATAGTAGCCCAACAGCACATATAGAAAGGAAAACAGATCATTGTGTCCTTGCAGTGCAATGGATAGTGCGTTGGACTTCTAATCCAAAGGTCGTGGATTCTAATCCCACGTGGGAAGGCCTAATTTCAGAAAATGTGATTTCTTTTTACTATACAATTTTATTGGAATAATTAAATTTAATGAATGGATAAAAGTAAACAAAAAATAGTCCTACACCATATATAGAAAGAAAAATGGAAAATCGCTTTCTATTTTGTCACTTAGTATTATGAATCTGTCATATGTATATACATATTTATATTAATTGTATTTACATTTGATAAAAAGTAACTAAAATAAAAAATTTCTTTGTTAACCTTAGTAGGAATTGACTTAATTTTTTTTTTCTATTTTACTTATTTTTCATAAACACCTATTATAAATGTTACGATTCCAGAATATGGCAACAAAGGCATCAATGGATAGACATAAAAATAAAATAGTTTGTAATAATAAAAAGTAGTAAAGTTTGTGGTAAATAATAGTAACCTATAAAAATATATTTCAAAGTCATAAATAAGTGCCCTCGAAAGTTTTAGCAAGTCTGATACAAGAAAGACTATAAATTGCAACATAATTCTAAGCAAATCTATAAACAGTCTACAGTTGTTACATTTTGATATTCATGATTAAAAAAAAAAAAAAAAAAAAAAAAAAAAAAAAAAAAAAAAAAAAAAAAAAAAAAAAAAAAAAAAAAAAAAAAAAAAAAAAAAAAAAAAAAAAAAAAAAAAAAAAAAAAAAAAAAAAAAAAAACATTAAAATTAAAATATACAAGATTTAGATAATAAATACTTTTAGTATTTGTATTTTTTTTTTTTTTTTTACTTTCTTTTTGGTATTTTTGAAACACATTTTACGTAATTTGTGTCGAGAAGGACCATAGATATGCGATTTTGTAAGATTTCATAGTGTAATTAATAGAAGCTTTTTAAAAAGGGATTTAAGTTATGTTATTATTTAAGAGATATGCTTAAGCAAATCACTTAAAAATGGGATAAAAATATTTACATTTAATTGACTTTTTAGAAATTATTTTACGGCAAAATTTCAAATGTATTAACATTTTTATAAGTCACTTTTATTTTCAAATACAAAGATAGACGAATAATTATAAGTATTTAAATATGACTTATTCTGAAACAATATCACAGTTATAAATTAAAATGCATTCTAAACATAAATATGTTTCTTCCTGTTCACAAAAAATTTCTGTGAAAATAATTGTATACAGTAAGACAAAACTTTTGAACGAAACCTTACAATCCGAGAAATACCATAAATGATGAAAATCTTAGTAAAAGAATTTGCTTATGAATCTTTGTTAGTGTGTTTTTTTAAAATATTTTATACCACAAAAAACTACTTTAATCAATTATAGAATGAATTTTACAATAATAAAAATGTAAAAACCAAAAAAATGTGGAATTGAATATCATAAGTTTCAGCAAATAATTTTATGTGAATTAATTACCTGAAGGATATTAATTATCTTCTTTTTGTTTAAAAACACAAATTTTCATTTAAGCTTATTGTGAAATCTTTACAATTTACAACAAAGATATTTAGCATCATTTCAAAAAAAAACTTATTGTACCATCTTACTATTTGTAGTTGAATTTTCAAACATGAATTGTCATATTTTGTTTAATATTAAACTACTTTACTTCATATGTATGTACATAATTCTTTCGAAAGATATTTCTTTTTTAGTTTTTTTAGCAAAGATTTTAACTATTTAAGTAACAAAACTATTTACTTTAATATTCGTAATGAAAATATAAAACCTTATCTTCGAATTATTTCATCTTTTTTTTTTAGAAATACAGCAATATCATTAGTTCATGAAGCTAAGAATTTCCATATGTATTTAAATGTACATATAGAATATACCATATTAAAATCTTACATTTCTGAGAATATGTTCATTCATGAAAGTCCTTCAGATTCTTTTTAGATTGATTGAAATTTCAGAAATGTTTATATTTTTCTCAGTCTAACTATATCTAATCTGATATTTCTATATTTATTCACGTGAACATAGAAAAAATGATTCGCAAAAAAAACATATTTAAACTTTTCAAATATCAAAAATTTTAATAAGCGAATCATTTTTTTTAGTAACGTAAACACAATTACGGTAAAATGCACCACAAAGGTGAAATTTCTCGAATGTTTATAGAACAAAATGGGAATTCTTTTGTGTTCACTCATTCATTGTTTATTTTTAGATTATGGCAACAAAAAAAAATTTGTTTGCGATACTTAAAGATTGGTTTACAACGTGAAAAATGACTAACTCAAATTAAATAGTAGATTATTTTCTCCGCGTTTTTTTTTTTATCATGCTATTTTCTTTACTTTTACAATTATTATTAGTGTGGGTCCATTTGAAATAAATTTTGAAGACAAAAGAAATTATAGAATGCCATTCATTGTTATTAATTCAAGAAAAATACAGCTTAAATATTTTTAAGAAAACGAAAATAAGTTTTTTTATTTTTATTGCTATTTTTTTTCTAACGAAAAAAAATGTCATTGAAAGATAAAAATTAAGGATAAATTATTAAAATTTGGATTTAAAGTCTAGTTTAATCTATCTATCTATTTATGTATGCAATAGTAATAATATACTAAATAGCTATAACTCTAAATAAGGAAAACAAAAATAGAAGTACAACCAGACGGTATAGTTCAAAAACAAGTTAACCTCCGTAATGCAATAGCAAACTTTTAACGTTAAAAGTGACTCACTCTTTCATCACGAGATCTCCGGAACTATTAGACCTACAGACTTCAATTTCTTAAACATGTTTCTTTTGTTGAGTAGAGATCTGCTAAGGACGGGTTTTACGGTAATCAACTTTTAATTTCCTGTTTTTAAGCTATTTGGCCTACAGACTTGAAATTTGGTACCTATGTTTCTTTTGATGAGCAGATATCAGCTAAAAGAACGGGTTTTGCTGGAATAGATTTCAAAGGAGGATTGTGGGACGTCTTTGGAAAAAAATTTCGTTTTATAAATTCAATTCCGGTCCTTTTCAAATCAAGAAGCGAGATCTATAAGAATATTTTTCACTGTAGTTGAAAGTTTACTGCTTGAACTTAGGTATCAAAAATTTTAAAATAGTATGTTGTGTTACAACATTATGAAATACCTTGTGAAACTGTCTAGTTATTATATATAGCATTATTTTTCTTCCATTTTCTTTCCATACAATAAAATAATAAATCACGGCATTTACTTTTTGAATTTTTTGGAAGGAAAAAGAATTAGAAACAATAAAAGCTGGCCTAAATTTTTTTGGAAATATTTTTAAAGTAATAAAAATATTTTTAAATATCTGATTAGACCCGATCTAAACAGCAAATCTTTTTGAATTATTTTTAATGCTGAAAATGTTTATTAATAGATATTAAATTAAAGCAGATATATTTTCGTGATAGGTAATATGAGAGAGAAGATCATTTATTTCATTCCCTGTTGGCCTTGAAGGTAATGCTATTGGGAAATTCCAGACATAAAACTTTTTCTTTGAATTTGCGAATGATTTCGAAACGAAGATGTAACTATACTGCCATACTCGAAAATATATTTTAATGTAAAATGAGCCACTCTCTTAGGCGGAAACATTTCTTTTCACTTGTGCATAGCAATACAGGTTTAATCATTCCACTTCGACTGTGCGATGAGTCTTTGTTCTAAAAGTACGAAGATGGGTATTTCCTACTAATGTAGGAGGTAACTGAAATATGGGAGAAAAACGTAGAAATCTTGTAGCTATAGGAACGCACTATAACGTATGCTCTTGTAACAGAAAATTATTTCGTTTTGCTCCTTCACATTATTAGCTGCAAATGGTTTATGAGTGTGCACATACTTTATCTGAATATCTAAATTCTAAATAAATAAAGAATCAAATTATTAAAAAATATTTTTAAAATATTAAGAACAAATAAAATTAAAAATTCTCAGGAAGTAGGGAAATAACTTTTTTTTAAAATATTTGTCATAATTTTAGACATTTCTCTGAAATTTCTATCATTCAAATCTTGTTTTTTATGCCTTTTCTTGCAAGGTTTTTTCTTTTTTCTTTTTTTTTCTTTCTTGTAATGAGTTATAATCATGTCCTAATCAGTACATTACATTCGTCTAAATTCCGTAGATTTTCTCCCATATTTCACAAACAGTTTCTCTTCAAACTTTTTAAAAGTAGCTCTCCTCCTAAGAAACTTTAAAATTTCAATAAAAGAACTCTCATTGATTAATCTCATACATAACCTGGATATGCTTGTGATTAATCGAATCTTAAATATAAATGCTTCAGAGTCTAAAGCACTCTCTCTCTCTCTCTCTCTCTCTAACTGTCTCTCTCTCTCTAACTGTCTCTCTCTCTCTCTTTCTCTCTCTCTCTTTCTCTTTCTCTCTTCTCCCTCTGTCTCTCTCTCTCTCTTTCTCTCTCTCTCTCTTTCTTCCTCTCTCTCTCTTTCTCCCTCTGTCTCTCTCTTTCTCTCTCTCTTTCTAACTGTCTCTCTTTTTCTAACTGTCTCCCTCTCTTTCTCTCTCTTTCTCTTTCTCTCTTTCTCTCTCTCTTTCTAACTGTCTCTCTCTTTCTCTCTCTCTGTCTCTTTCTATTTCTCTCTATATCTCTCTCTTTTTCTCTTTCTCTCTCTCTCTCACTGCCGTAAAATCCTCTAATAGTGTATTCTTCCAGAATAAGACCCCCCCCCCTTCCGAGTTTTACTTCAGTCTAAATTTGAGCTTCCCTTTTTAAAATTTCAAATCTCTTATTATTTTTTAAGAGGGGGCTGCATTTTTGAGATTTCGTGGTAAGAGTTTCCTAAAAAATGTTTTCCTTAAATTCCAATTATTAATTTATTTTTAACTCTAGAATTTTTCTCAGATTCGGGGAAAAAAGGACAGCATATTATTAGGATTTTATGATGATATAATCCTGTTTCAAAATCATTCATCTTTTGAATTACCAATAAATTAGAGAATAATTCCTTCTCGTATGTCTCGATGCAAAATTTGTAATAATACAAATACTTTAAATGCTTACCCAGAGAGTCAAATTTTC